TGATTGTAAATTTAAGAAAGGAAAAATAAACCTCCTACTTTGCATATCCCATCTAAGGATACATTTTACTCTGGTGGAGATTAGGAGGCAGGGGTCTTGGAAGTGAAGTGAGTCTGCACCGACAGTCTACACTAGGACTATCCACTGGGGTCACATGATGCAGCATCTTATTACTAATGAGGGCTATCACAGACATAGACTGCTTTCATTTAGCACACTCTTTATTGTTTCCTTAGAGCAAAAACTCTTTTCAGGCCTTTACAGGTCACTGTAACCTCCAAAAACAGTATAGCTTTTCCCATGAGGCCTTAAGACACTATTGAGACTGTAGAACCTGTGAATGAGCTGCAGCAGGGCTAAGAGCAAGGGTAAAGCCCCCTAAAGTGGGAATCTCAAGCCGCCCGGCTGCCCAGACGGAGAGGACACGGGGAGAAACTTGCAGCCTTGCCTGGTGCAGGCAGAGGATGGGGCCGTCACACAGGGAGCTGTCCCGGAGGTCGATTCTCAGACACAGAAGTGACTGTATAAACAGTGATAGGAAACACAGCCCTAAGAAGGGGACCCTGTCATCGAAGGGAGCCCTGTCCTCAGCAGCAAATCTGAACCTGCCCAGGGCTGGGAGGGCACTTACGGAGCGCTTGTCGGCCTCGGCGCCTTGCTGGCCCTGGAGACACGCGGTGAGCTTCTTGTGTGTGCTGTGGGAAACTTGCTTCACCAGCTCCAGGCGCTTCTCCACCTGCACACAGAGCAGGGGGTGATGCCACTGGGTGCGGGCAAGGTCAGGAGGGGTCCTAGGTCTGGACATCAGGGAAGCGTCTGCCATGTGCTTCTGCAGAGAGGGGACTGCCGGGAGACATCCCGTTCCGCAGGACTGGAAGGGGCCCGGTCTCAGACTATGGGGCCACTGCTAACCGCACAAGGAAATGACTCTAAATGTCTCCTAAAAATCTTACCCAAACTGGTATTCAGAATGCCAGGGACTGTTGCAAAAGATAGAGAGTGTCTCTCCACAGACCTGCGTGGGAGCGCTGACGGTGACATGGCACTGGGGATGGCCTGGTCTAACAGGGAGCACAGCTTCGGTGCCCATCAGCTGAGCCGGGCAGCCTTACCTGAAGGAGGTCTTCACTCAGAACTTCAGTCTTTTCTGCCCTAAAGAGAAAAATGAGAAACCTGTCAGCCAAATAAACAAACGAGGAGCATGCTCTCATACTTACTCCCCACTACCTTCTCTTGTGGAGAGATGGGAAAAGGGGGGACATTAGGAGCAACAATTTCTGAGAGAAAATACAGGTGATACTGAAATTGACCAGCAACGCAACATATTTGCCAACAAGATACTCTGCAGAGTCTCCTGCTATGGACTGCAACCTGGTGAATAAAACAAACACACTTTTTTCCTTCCCAAACCAGTTTTTGAGGGAACAGAATTAAGCAGTGGCCCCATAGTCTGAGACCAGGCCCCTTCCAGTCCTGCGGGATGGATGTCTCCCTGCTATACCTCCAACAAAAACAACTGCCACAGAGTCTCGAGGCACATGCAATGTCGACACGGGGACCCGGCCACCAGTGTAGGGCCCCCAGCCAGTGAGGAGCTTGTCCTTGAGATTTTCAGGGACAGAACCCGGACCTGGCTGAATGGTCCAGATCTGTGGGCAACCCCCGCCTCAGGGCTGAGCGAGATGTAAGTCTTTGGAGAACAGCATTCCCGACTCAGAGCCCGGAGATGCTCGGAGGGAAGGCTCAGTCGTGAGTTGTCCACACCCGTGTGCTCTCTCTCTCCTCTCCACACTCACGCTCTCTCTCACAGACACGCACACAAAATGCCAATTCACATGAAAACAAGTCAACACTAAGAGTGCAGAGAGAGACTGAACTCATCAAAGATTGTAACATATGTATACAATACTGAAGAAAGAATGATGTATTAAAAAATCAGTGAGTGACAGGACCTTTGCTTCTGGAATACGGAGTAATCATATTTCACCTCTTCCTCTCACGAAGTACAAACAAAACCAAGGACATTATATACAAAACAAACATAAGAAAACTGCAGGTGGAGAAAAGGCGGAGTGGCTAGGAATCTCCAGACCCAAGGAATAGGGGGTGGGATTTTTTCCTTCCGATGTTCCTAACTTGGAGCTTAGGAGGCTGAGACCTGAAATACCAATGGGTGCAGACACAACAACCCAACCACAGCCTGGTCTTTGTAACTTTCCTAGTGAGTTATTTATAGGCAACAACTGCTCCTCCAAAGACTACGGAAAAACCTGTCTTCCTAGCCCACCCACACAAGCAAAGGCTGAGCAGGGTGCAGGAGGAGCCACCCTCACCAGGCACCCAACCCACCTCCCTCCCCACAGCCAGGTCTCAGTGCCAGAGAAAATAAATATGTAACTGGGACACTGATCCCTGCCGGGCAGTGACAATGGAAACCACATGGGTAGCCTGGACTCCACCCTCACTTGGTGGTAGCGAAGCATCCCCTGTCCTCCCTGGGATGTGGTGTCACAGGAGACCCCGTGGAAAGTCAGGGCTTTCACCACCGCCCAGCGGTAACTAGGCCACCCTCGTCCATGGTGTCAATGAAGGCCAAGTGAGGAGCAATAATGAGGCACTGTTCCCCTCCCAGTCAGAGAGGTGTCAGTGAAGGACTATTGGGGAGCCACAATTCCCACTCCCACTCAGCAATAACGATGAGCACCCCACTCTTGGGAAAGTGGGGGCAAGAAGGGTGAGTAGAGAACCTTGATTTTGACTCCCACTTGGCAGTAACAAATAAAAATTCTACCTTCCTCTGCTGGCTCTGAGTAAAGCTAGCTAAAAGAAAGTTTAAATAAGGTCAAATGTCTCATAATACATATGTCCAGGTTTCAATAAAAAATTACTCATTATACCAATAGCCAGAAAAATCTCAAATTGAATGAAAAATGATAATCAATAAATGTCAACATCAGGGATGACAGAAATGTTAGAATTATCTGGTAAGGACTTTAAAGCATTCGGTATATAAATGCTTCAATGAGCAAGTATAAATATGCTTAAAACAAATAAAAATAGAAAGTCTCATAAAAGAAGGTATAAAGAGGAAAGAAATGAAAATTTTAGATCTGAAAATTGCAATGATATAAAATGTAAAGACCCAGTGGATGTGTTCAACGGCAGAATAGAGGGGGCAAAGGAAAGAATCAGTGAACTGAAAGGAAGCACAATAAAAAATTTCCTGATCTGAACAACAGGGCAAAAACAGACCAAACCAAGAACTAAATAAAAATAAAGTCTCAGAGCCCTGAAGGACTATAACAAAAGATTAAATATTTATGTCATCAGAAAAAGAGAATAAAAAAGAGTGCTGAAAAAATATTCGAAGAAATAATGGCTGAAAATTTTGCAAATTTGGTAAAATACATAAACCTACCTACTGAAGATGCTGAGCAATCCCCCAACAGGAGAAACACAAAGAAATTCTCACCAAAACACACTCAAACTTGTATAAACTAAGACAAAGGCAATTTTGACACCAGACTGATTTCCATAGTGGCTGCACCATCTACACTTCCACCAGCAGTGAATGAGGGTTCACGTTTTTCCACAGCCTCTCCAGCACTTGTTATTGCTTGTCTTATTGGTAATGGCCACTCAACAGGTGTGAGATGGTCATCTGATTTTTGACATAGGTGCAAAGGCCATTCAATGAGGAAAAAGATAGTTTCTAACAAATTGTGCTGGTACAATTGAATATTCATATGAAAAAATATGGACCTTGACCCACACTTCAAATAACTCATAATGGATCATAGAGTTAAATATAAAACATAAGACTATAAAACTTTTGGAGAAAACATCTTTGACTTTGGGTTAGGCAATGAGTTCTTAGATATGACATCAAAAGCATGATCCATAAAAGAAAAAATTGATATATTAGACTTCATCAAAATTAAAAGTTTTTTGCTCTGTGAAAGGCAGTATCCTATCTAATAAAGAGGGAATATGCTAATTGACTGCCCCACCCTCAAAGATGGCTGTGCCCACAGCCACAAGATGGTGACACCCAGTCCCCTCAGCCTCCCAGCCGCCCAGGGCCGGCCCAAAGGACAACCAAACGACTGAGCAGCAGGCTGTGTGGGGCGAGCAGGCCAGCAGGAGGGTTAGTGAGGGATGATCAAATGACTGATCAGCAGGCTGTGTGGGGCGACCAGGCTGGCAGGGGGATGGGGGGGGCAGTGAGTGGTGACCAAACAACTGAACAGCAGGCTGTGTGGGGTGACCAGG